TTAGATCTATTAAAGAGAATACAGCTGCAGCAATTTATTGCTATTAGGTGCTGCTGCTGCTGCTGCTGCTGCTGCTGCTGCTGATGTTGATGCTGCTGTTGATGCTGCTGTTGATGCTATTCATGCTGCTGTAACTGATGTCCCTGCTGCTGCTGCTGCTGCTGCTGCTGCTGCTGCTGGTGTGTCTTGCAGCCGCATGAATGGATTCGTTAACATCTTACGCAAGATGAAGCAACAGGCAGCAGCAGCAGCAGCAGCAGCTGCTGCTGCTGCTGCAGCAAATCCTGCTGCAGCACCCAGTGCTGCTGCTGCACCTAGTGCTGCTGCAACACCAACTGCTGCTACTGCAGCACAGCCATGACGGTGTACAGTTTGCTGCTGCTGCTGCTGCATCTGCTGCAGAAGTTCTGCAGCAGTTTGCTGCTGCAGCAGTCCTGCAGCTACGCAGCAGCAGCAGCAGCGGCAGCAGCAGCAGCAGCAGCAGCAGCAGCGGCAGCAGCAGCAGCAGCAGCAGCAGCATTAAGGAGACTTGCTGCCCCCTTGTTAGTTTTTTTTTCTTTTTATATAATTGTTTTATTTTTATTTATTTGTTTATTTATATTTATTTATTTATTTATTTATTTATTTATTTATTTATTTATTTATGCATTTTTATTTATTTATATTTATTTATTGTCTCTCTCTTTTGTCTCCTTAATTAATTAAATTAATTAATTAATTAATTAATTAATTTATTTATTTATTTATTTATTTATTTATTTATTTATGTATAAGAGAAGGAGACAAGAAGGAAACAAGAAGGAGACAAATAAATAAGAGGAAATAAATTTAAATCTGCTGCTGCTGCAGCAAAAGTCTCTCTACAGCTGCACAACGTCAAACGGCAGCAGCAGCAGCAGCAGCAGCAGCAGCAGCAGCAGCAGCAGGTGCTGCTATTGCTGCTGCTGCAACAGGTGTTGTTGCTGCTGCTGCAAAGGACGCAACATGTAGCTAGCGACCTGCTGCAACAGCAACAGGAAGCAAACAACCTGCTGCAGCAGGAGCAGCTGCTGCTGCTGCTGCTGTTGCTGCTGTACAGGAAACGGGAAATATACCTGCTGCTGATGCTGCTGCAGCAAAAGCAGCAGCAGCTCCTACAGCAAAAGCAGCAACAGCTGCTGCAGCAACTGCAGCAACTGCAGCAACTGCTGCTGTAGCTAAAAACATACTGTATATACAAATATATACAGCGGAAGAATGAGCTGCTGCTACGAACTGCTGCTGCTGCTGCAGCTGCTGCTGCTCCTGCTACAGGTCATAACAGCAGCAGCAGCTGCTGCTGCTGCTATTGCTGCTGTTATCTACACATATTTAGGAGCAGCAAAAGGAGCAGCAGAGGGATTAGACTGCAGCGGGGCAGCAGCAGCAGCACAATAGGGTGTCTGTGCAACTCCATATGGAGCAGCAGCAGCAGCAGCAGCAGCAGCAGCATTATTATCTCTTGCTAATGCCATATATAAGGCAGCAACACGAGCATCAAAGTCTGAGCAATATTGCTGCTGCTGCTGCTGCTGCTGCTGATAATATCCTGCTGCTGCTGCTGCTGCTGCTGCTGCTGCTTCGGGTGTACCTGACCATTGCTGCATAACTGCTAGTTCTGCTGCTGCTACTTCTTGCTGCGGATATCCCCCTAAGAAATCGTAGCTGCTGCTGCTGCTGCTGTTGCTGCTGCTGTTGCTGCTGCTGCTGCCGTAGATCTTCCTCCATAGCCATGGTAGTCCCGTAAGATTAAGCAAAGACTGCAGCAAGTTTGCTGCTGCTGCTGCTGCACCCCCTGATGTGCTGCAGTTAACTGCTGCTGCTGCAAGCAGCAAGACAACAGCAGCAATTGCTGTTGTTGTTGCTGCTGCTGCAGCACGAGACCAGCAGGTAGTTAGATCATCATAGTTATGACTAAAGTTATGCATCTTATGGGGTGTACGTACAGCTGCATTTGCTGCATCAATTAGCTGTTTATGCTGCCGCTGCAGCTGCTGCTGCTGCTGCTGTGTTAGCTGCTGCTGCTGCTGCACAGATAATGCATGCATGCAGCAGCTCTTATCATTCAATACAACAATCATTGCCTTAATAGCAGCAGCAAGAGACTTAACTCTATGGCGTGCCTCCTCTACTGCAGCAGCACTGCTGCTGCTGCTGCTGCTGCTGCTGGTGCTGGTGCTGCTGCTGCTGTTGATGCTGCTGTTAGGAGCCCACAGCATGCGGCGTAGACGAGCACCTATGCTGCTGCGCTGCAGCTGCGCCCACGCAGCAGCAACAGCAGCAGCAGCAGCTTCAGGTGTAGGGGATAATATAAGTGTTGGTTGCTGCTGCTGCTGCTGCTGCTGTTTTCCTTGCATGCGTAACTGCAGCAACTGCAGCATAGTTAGTCCTCCCTCAACAGCAGCAGTACCTAATGTACTTCCTGTTGCTGTTGCTGCTGCAGCAGCAAGTCCTGTGTCTGATAGTAGAGGAGCAGCAAAATAAGCAGCAGCAGCAGCAGGGACATCTAGCCAGCTGCTAGGCTCAGCACCAGCAGCAGCAGCAAGTCTAGCAACAGCAGACTGTGGCAGCAAAGGAGAGGCAGCAGCTGCAGCAGCAGCAGCAGCAGATGCCTCTGATGCCTCCTGCAAGGAATTCATTAACCAGCACCATCCTTTTGCTGCTGCGCTGCTGCATGCAGCAGCAGCAGCAGAAGGAGACAGCAGCAGCTGGTGCCATGGTAATTCTGTTTCCTTTCTTGCTGCTCCTGCTGCTGCTGCTGTAGACGCTCCTGCTCCTGTTCCTGCTGCTCCTGTTGCTGCTGCTGCTGCTGCTGCAGGCAGCAGCACACCAGGCCTACGGAAGGCAGGACGCTGCCTATCATAAGCAACGTGCTGCTGCCAGTGCAGCAGCCGCTGCGTCGTCAGCAGCAGCAAGAAGACGAGCTGCAGCAGCAGCTCGTCGTGCTGCAGCTGCAGCAACTGCAGCGGCTGTTCATGTAATTCAGCTAATTGCTGCTGCTGCTGCTGCTGCTGCTGCAGCGGACCTCCTTCCTCATAAGGAGACAGCCAACTCCTTATATAATATTGTGTCTGCTGCTGTGCTGCTAGCTGCATAAAGTTATCTACCTTTAGGTCCTGCAGCAGCAGCTGCTGCTGCAGCAGCAGCAGCAAAGTAGGTGCAACAGCAGCATAACATTCCCATACTATACGGTTGCTGCTGCTGCTGCTGTCTACATGCAGCAGCAGCTGCTGCAGTCGTGATATTACTGCAGGTAATGGTGTATTTGCTATCCTTTGCTGCAGTGCAGCAGCAGCAACTGCTTTGCTGCTGCTGCTGCTGTCCCTGCTGCTGCTGCTGCTGCTGCTGTTATTATCCTTAGACCTTATCTTAATCTGTTTCTTGTTGCTGCTGCTGTTGCTGCTGCTGCTGCTGGTACTCCCACTGCTGCTGCTGCTGCTGCTTTTATTCCCTGGAATAAGATCAGCAGCAGCAGCAGCAGCAGCAGATGTAGTCTGCTGCAGCAACCCTGGTTGCTGCTGCTGCTGCAGTATAGCAATCTGCTGCAGATGGCTACATATACGCAGCAGCAAATAACGAGAAAAAAGGGGGGAAAATAAATTAAATTTATCTGCAGCAGCAGCAAGATATAAATAAAATATACATCTTCTTTCTTTTATTTGTTGCTGCTGCTGCTGCAGCAGCAACACTGCAGCATCATAGCAGCAGCAGCAACTAAGAGGCAGCAAGGATAAGGGATTAGATCCATTTATCCAGGTGTACGTACACCCTACACCACAAAGAAATAAAAAAGAATTATTTTTCTTTATTTTTATTCTTTTATTTATTATTCTTGTAAATATCCTATTATACCACATCCTGCTGCTGCTCCTGCTGCTGCTCCTGCTGCTGCTGCTGCTGCTGTTGCTGCTGCTGTTGCTGCTGATGCTGCTGTTGATGATGTTGCTCTTTGGTTGTGGTGATCTTTGTCTTGGTTATAATGATGTTGCTGCAGCAGCAGCTGCTGCTGCTGTTGCTGCTGCTGTTGCTGCTGCTGTTGCTGCTACTGTTGGTCTTGTTCTTTGTAAGGGTTCTGCTGCTGCTGCTGCTGCTGCTGCTGATCGTGTTATTGGTACAACTGCTGCTGCTGCTGCTCCTTTGGATATTGTTCGTGGTACTGTTGCTGCTGATATTGCAGGTCAGGTTCTTGCTGCTGCTGTTGCTGAACCTGCAGCAGCTGCTGCTGTTGCTCCTGCCGCTGCTGCTGCTGCTGCAGCTGTTCTTGTTGCTGTTCCTTCTGCTGCTGCTGCTGCTATGGCTCCTGCTGCAGCTGCAGCCGCTGCCACAGCTGCTGCTGCTGCTGCTGCGGAGGCAGCTGTATATTCTTATATGTTTAGAACATCTCGGTAAAAAATCAAAAAAATTCTCAAACCCTAAACCCTAAACCCTAAACCCTAAACCCTAATCCATCAATACAGCCACTGACTTTTGAGCCGAGGGCAGTTAAGAGGAAAAAAAGTATATCGTCATAACTAAGATAAATAAAATAAAAAAAATATTTAAAAATAAAAAAAATTCACAAAAAAATTAAACCCTAGCTGTAGATACACCTGGCGGTTCGCATGCGCCGGGGCTGCAGCGCAGCACGCGCTCAACGTCGAGGGTTTAGGGTTTAGGGTTTAGGGTTTAGGGTTTAGAGTTCCAACAATTCTACTACATCTACCTTGTCCTTATCTAGAGGTTATGCGAAAGCACTACCTCTTTCTCCCTTAGGACAAAAGTTCTTTTTATTAAGGGTTTAATTATATCTAGGGTTTAGGGTTTAGGGTTTAGGGTTTACGGGCTCGGTAGTAGATATCGTCTGTTTAGGGGTTTTCCCTCAGTGTGCCTCTATAAACTCCTATAATAAGCATATCCAAAGGATTTATTGTTTAGGGTTTATATTTTAGGGTTTTACATTCTAGGGTTTAGGGTTTAGGGTTTAGGGTTTAGGGTTTGTGAAGATGGCGCGTGCGGTAGTATATTTTTGCACCGGCAATCAAAATAAATTAAGAGAAGTACAACAAATGATGATTGATGTTCCTGTTGAATTTAGAGCTCTTGATGTTGACTGTACGTACACCCCAAAACCCTAAACCCTAAACCCTAAACCCTAAACCCTAAATATTAGAGCAATAATAAAGGCGAAACCCTCGATTGAACTAACGTGCAGAAATCGCTTGTTGGTCTGTTGCTGTTGCACTCTCTAAACCCTCAAACCCTAAACCCTAAACCCTACTCCCGTACAGTATCGGGATCTGAAGGAATTTAGGGTTTAGGGTTTAGGGTTTAGGGTTTTAGCAGCATGCAGATTAGCGGCTACGCATGCACATCTCTTTGTGTGCGTATTCAATTCTGTTATTCGTCTCAGGATCTATGAATTAGGGTTTAGGGTTTATTAGGGTTTAGGGTTTAGGGTTTTGGGGTGTCTGCGCAGTGCCAGAGCTTCAAGGAGAAACGGCAGAAATATCGCGAGCTAAATGCCAGGCAGCAATTGACCAACACCGCAGCAGCAGCAGCAGCAGCAGCAGCAGCAGCAACGGCAGCAGCAACAGCAGCAGCAGCAATCTACCAGAGTTTGTATTCACAGAGGATACTGCCCTTTGCTTCAATGCCCTCGGAGGACTGCCAGGCCCTTATGTGTACGTTCTAGGGTTTAGGGTTTAGGGTTTAGGGTTTAGGGTTTGGCTGCATACATTGTCGGAGAGAGGCAAGTCAGCAAGCAGGAAGATAGGACGTAGCCTGTGCTGCTGTTGCTCATCTTGCTGCTGCTGCTGCTGCTGCTGCTGCTGCTGCTGCTGCTGCTGCTGCTGTGATGTACAGGAAGTGGTTCTTGAAGAGCTTAGGTGCTGCTGGTCTTCCTAAACTTCTTGCGGGCTTTGAGGTAACCCTAAACCCTAAACCCTAGACTGTAAACCCTAAACCCTAAACCCTAATTTTTTTTTATTATTAGGGTTTGTGCTGCAGGATAAGACAGCTTATGCTCTTACGAGTGTTTGTATTGCTGATGCAAAGGGAGAGATGCATCTATTTGAAGGACGATGTGACGTAAACCCTAAACCCTAAACCCTAAACCCTAATATCCTTTAGAGCCCATATATGTAGCAAACACCAACTTTTGCAGGCTTTGCTGTTGCTCATATTGCTGCTGCTGTTGCTGCTGTTGCTGCTGCTGCTGTTGTTGCTGCTGCAGGGGGCAATTGTTGAGCCAAGAGGGAAGACTTCTTTTGGCTGGTAAGGTGTTGCAAGATATAGTATTTAGGGTTTAGGGTTTACGATTTAGGGTTTAGGTTTTACGAATTAGGGTTTAGGGTTTAGGGTTTAGGGTTTAGGGTTTATTATTCAGGGATTGTGTATTTGAAGAAAAAACAACAAAGAAAACTTTTGGGGAAATGACGGCAGAAGAGAAGGCGAGGGTTTCTCATAGAGGGAAAGCAATGAAACAACTTAAGGTAAACCCTAAACCCTAAACCCTAAACCCTAGCTGTCTCAATAGGAAACAAGTTGGAGGAAACCTAGCAGACACATAAACACTAATCATGAATCTTTTTCTTTTTTTTTGCTGCAGGAGTTCTTATTAAAAGTCACCGCTTAAGGCGGTTTAGGGTTTAGGGTTTAGGGTTTAGTGTTTGGGGTTTAGGGTTTATGTATTTAAGCTTATTGCCTGTGGGCATGCAGATGTTTCTGCTGCTGCTGCAGCAGTTCATGCTCGTCTATTCGCAGCAGCAGCTGCTGCTGCTAGCTGTTGCTAGCTGCTGCTGCTGCTGCTGCTGCTGCTGCAGCAGCAACTGCAGCAGCTCTTTCTGCATATGATGTGCAGCCACATCAATGCTTAGCGATGTTTGTCTTTTAATTGTCTATTTTAATCACAATGCAGCAAAACCCTCATAAACCCTAAACCCTAAACCCTCAAAAAGGGTTTGTAGTGTATACACATATAGAGTTGTATTAGAAGCTAGGCTCAATATCCCTTAGGGTCGCTGTGCTGCTGTCGGTGCTGCTGCTGCTGCTGGAGAGCCCCTTCTCTACCTGATTTAGTTAGGGTTTAGGGTTTAGGGTTTAGAGTTTAGGGTTTAGGGTTTAGGGTTTAGAGTTTGGGGCCCTAGAGTCGGCCGTTTAGTCTAGTGGTATGATTCTCGCTTTGGGTGCGAGAGGTCCCGGGTTCAATTCCCGGAACGGCCCTCCTTTTAGTTTTTATTTAATAAGAAAAAATGTAGCTGTTGCTGTTGCTGCTGCTGCTGCTGCTGTTAGCTTTTCCTGCTGCTGCAGCCTTATAAAAAAGGAAATGTGTTGCAGCACGAACGGACTATAGTAGCAGCAACAGCAACAGCAACAGCAGCAGCACAGCCTGCTATCCAGGGGACCTTATCAATAACATAGGAGCTCTCTTATTTGCTGTTTGCTGCTTCTGCTGCTGATTATGTTGCTGCTGCTGCTGCTGCAGTAACATAATCAGCAGCTATAAGCCTAAATATATATAAGGAAAGTTACAGGTGACCAATGGTCCACTGCCCTCATCTAGTGGTCCATTAAGAGTGCTGCTGTATAAATTGGAGAGCAGCAGCTGCTATATAAGAATTAATTGTAAAGAAAAAGGTACAAGAATAAATTAAATAATTTAATTTAATAAGAAAAAATGCTGCTACTGCTGCTGATGATGTTGCTGCTGCTGCAGCAACATTATAACAGCAGCATCTGTATTTACATATTCATTTATTTAGTATTATATATATATATTGAATAAATATAAACAAAAAAGAAAAAAGAAGAAGAAAAAAAAATAAATTTATTTTCCTCTTTTTTTTTTTTTTTATTTCTTAATGGAAATAAAAAATAAATTACGGCCGTA